CTGAACCCACATACACTTCTACCCTCTATGATATCCCACGGTATTTGGTTTCACAATGTATTTATACATAGCAGATAACAAAGCCCTTGCAAGCAGGGATCACAGCACAGAAAGGAAGTTAGCAGGGGATATGAGGCCAGCTTTATGTAACAGCATTCAACATACCTAGACCTTTGTCCACCCCACATGAGCATGCTCGAGACATTTAGACCTTCACCCATTCTACATGACACCGTCTTAGCATTTTTAGACCTTTGCCACAGTATACGTCACCTACACTGACGCTGTCACGTCGGTGAAACTGCTGGTCTGGATGCAGTTCTGCCAATGGGTGGCAGCGCCAGGGATGTGGTGAGGTGCTCTACATGGCAGACTAGACCAGCCCAAGCTACCACTTAAACCCACTGTTCTGCTGTCAACCTCCAGTGTTTCAAATAATATAACATCAACCTATAAAATCAAGGTTCTGTTCCCTAAAAAACCTACTTTCTCTCCTTTTGAGATTGTTCTTTATTCTCTCAACGAACGGACTTTTCCACCTGCCACTGCTTCCCTCTGGTTATTACTAAGCGAAGAAATGTTATGTTCAAGTTTTCAGTTGCTGACTGTACTCTGAGGGGGGGAAAGAAGGTATAAAACTGCAGCAGCACTGTGTCAGTGTGTGTCCCAGACTGCCCTTTATTTATGGTATCTGTAATCTCTTGGGTAGAAAGGAGTCCAGAGACTCAACCAGAGCTTGCCAGTCTCTTTCTCCCAGATTTAACACACATGAACATTTACAGCTTTATTTTTCTAACTACACCAGACCCCAGACCAATGTGCAGCCTGTAGATAAGATCTTCCTCCCTCTAGTCTGTCCCTTCAGCTTCTTACTGCAGGTAATTACAAAAACTGGACAAAAATGGAGATGAATGGTGGAGGTTCAGCTACAATTTAACCATGGTCAGTTTTGTGTGGTTTTTTTTTGTTGTGGTATTTTTTTAACTTCTTTATTTCTTCAGAATAAATCCTACATCACTCATGTTTATAAAAAAGTTAAATATGTAATTCCTAAGCATAGCAGTTTCTTTAAAAACTCTTACCTTTGTAAATACAGACCCCAATTAATCCTTCCAACTTTACTAAAATTGAAAGTTTTTGTTTTTCAAACAGAAAGTCCATATATATATATATATATA